TTCCCAATGAATGAAAAACAAAACGATATTGTTGCTCTTACTGACGTTTCTCTATTTAATGCTAATAGCTTTATCAAAGTGTTATTAAACCGGAATTTACAAAATCTCAGCATGTATATATAACAAAGAGTTAAGGGGTGAGAAAATAGACTTAGGTCAATTTAAAAGGACATATTGAAAGTCAAAATAACAATGAAGATCACTAAATTAAATACCAAAGGTAATAGTACATCTGTTATGATATCAAAACAAAGTTTACTAACTTGATCATCGTCCGTTAGTCTGGAGTTATTTTTTGTTGTCAAGTTGGTGAATTGGTAAAAGTAACAAAACCAGGAGTAGAGTTGACAACCAAAATGACCCCAGACTAACGAACGATCATCAAGTTAGTAAACTTTATTTTGATATAATAACAGATATACTATTATTTCATTATGAATTCAGGTATTTCCCGTCGATTGATTGGACCGAAATGCGCATCCTGGATTCCACTGCTAGCCACCATCCACCAATTGTAGATATACTATTACCTTTGATATTTGGTTTGAACGATCTTCATTGTTATTTTGACTTTCAATATGTCCTTTTAAGTTGAACTAAGTCTATATTTTTTTCTCACCCCTAACTCTTTGTTATATATATGGTGAGATTTTGTAAATTCCGGTTTAATAATACTTTGAGAAAGCTATTAGCATTAAATAGCGAAGCTTCAGTAAAAACAATCTCGTTTTGTTTTTTCATTCATTGGGAAATACAAGAGTAGATTGTTGGATTTGATAAGTGTGTAAAATTATAAAGTAGTGTGTGTTTAGATAGTGAACTTGCTTATCACATTTGTGTTGATTTTGTCACTTCATGGTGGAGGGGGGTATTGTAACCAGGTGAGATTCTGTTTTAGTCCATCATTCCTATTCTGTTCAGAGAATTTGGATTCCACTTGATATGAAGTGCTTCTGATGATATTAGACGTTCTCTGTGATTTCTGAAATGCTTTTCTGGATTAATTCAATATTGTCAGAATCAATTTGTGGTCTGATTCTATAGCGTGTAGACCACCTCCTATGGCTGATGATTTTTCAAGACTTTCTAGTTCACTAACTGGGTTTCTCGGTGGTCGAGCAGAGTCAGGTCTACGGTTTTCATTTCTTCTGATATGGATTTCTCGAGGTATTTGTCCGATGTGTATCACATCACATTCCAAGCATTTTACTTTGTGGACACAATTCGATGGAGACTTTTCAAGGATTTGGTCTTTTATTGATATGTATCCACATATATATATATATATATATATATATATATATATATATATATATATGTGTGTATGGTGATCTCTTTTTCTGTTTGCTCGCTTAGTCTGTGACCATTTCACTTTGATGAACCTGTCTCCTTTAACAATGTGTATTCCCCTTATATTATATATAATATGAGTGTTTGTTGACAGTCCGTTGCTTGGTGACATATATCCATATATGGTGGTTGTTGACATGTCTGCTATATTTTGCTATGTATATATGGATCGACACTCCATTATAATTAACCATTCATGTTAAGACTGTCTATTGATTGTTCACACACTTGTCTGGACGGTCATATATATATTTCGTTCTCACAATCTTGTGACTTACTTACTTTGGTGTGATACCACTTATTGCTTCTCCTTGTGTTTGGAAAATAGAAGTATCATCGCAAGCCTAGTGGTCTTCTGATTTCCGCCTTCTTGCGTCAGGACTATTAAATTCTCGACCAGTACATAACATTTATATATACAATGTTGCTTTTTAATGTGTCTGATCTTCTGAAAAGAACTCTGATGTTGAGCTTATTGAGTACTCTTCTGATATCGTCTGACATCTCTGCTCTATATGGAATGACGACTGTTGATGTCCATATTTTCGGAATGCGTTTTCGGCCATACTTAATGTCTGTGTTGATTTTGTTGATGAAGTTCCTTGGGAAGTTGTATTGCATGAGAGTTTCAGTAATGTTTGATATTTCTTCTTCTTTTTCTTTCTCATCCGTTATGAGAGAGTGTGCTCGTCTAAGAAGACTTGAAACAACTGAAATCTTTGAGCTGATGGGGTGTGATGATTTGAAGTCTAAATATTTATTGGAGTGGGTTTTCTTCCTGAATATGGATATACTAAAATGTCCGTTTTCTTTTCTCTTAACTAGGCAGTCTAGAAATGGTAGTTCACGGACGTCTGATTCTGCTTCCGATAGCGAAATGTCAGTAAAAACAATATCGTTTTGTTTTTCATTCATTGGGAAATACAAAAAGCTTTATTATAATGAACAGTTTATATTCGTTAACCAATTCGTTAACTGAGCGTGTGATTTCGGTTTACATTAAACGACATGAAATAGGATGTTCAAATATACATAGTATTCTTTTGTTAATGGCGAATTGAACTGTGGGAACATGTGAGAATAACATTCCGCTGGTACGTATTGTCTGTATCACACCACCACAATAGAAGTGAACTTCTAAATTTTTTTTGATTACAGCTTGATTCCACACCGTATCCTTTCGGTACAGGTATGGAATTTTTAGCATGTGAAATCGGTAGACCAAATTTTGCGGGATGACCATAGATATCAGGTGCGCGTTGGCAGAGGATCGAACCCCGGACCATGTGCATGGTCGGCGAGAGTCCTAACCACCGTGCCACCGATGCATTTGTATTTGATTCTCCCCATTTTTTGAACCAAGATGCTAAATATCCTCAAATGCGTAGACACATCCATCTAACTGTATGCCTGATATATACCTTGAACCACAGGAACTGTTAATACATACGTTTATACGAATTTACAAGAAACTATATCTCATGAGGAAATCTGAACAAAGTATATGAATTGTAAGCTTCCAGACCGCAGGTGTTACGAACTTTCTGGAATAATTTGAGCACCAAGTCAGAGTGATTCACTATAGATTATTTAAATTAATCCCAGCGTGTTTAAGAAAAAATCAAAAAAAGATCTGTTTTCTGAACGTTTCGCTGTGTAAGCCACAGTCAGCTTCTTCAGCAGATTTATTCAGATTTTTATTAATCATCAAAATATATAGTCAAAATATTTTTCATACATTGAAGTCAGTTTAGTTGAAGGTCATTTGTCCATGGACATTTGTACCAATAGAAATATGTAAACAGTCATCACATATTTGTAATGACTAATGTCAAATTCTTATTGTGTATATTTTTTTCTGTGTGTGTATATTTCATTTGTCATGAAACCACGTCAATTTACATGTAATAAGCACGATAATACACCTTTTTTTAAAATTTTTTTAAAGGTCATGGAGGTTCATGAAGGTTTTTGTTGTTTTTTCATCTGTCTTGCTTCATTAGAGTTTGCCATATATCCCTTCTTTCCTATTTAACTGCATTCGATGTGGTTAAAAAGTGCAAGGTTTCACAGGTCAACCTTTCTTTGTGTGAATGAATTTCGACATTGTCGAAATCAATCTTATGTCCGCTGTCTATCGCATGCATTGCTATAGCTGATCTTTTTTCTAGACTTTTTAATTCTACTTCATTTCTAGGTGGACGTATCGTGGATACTCCTTCGAACAATAAAAATATCGAGGAGTTTAAAAGGAAAGTAATGGACATAATTATTGAAGAAGACGAAATTATGGCAAGTTTTGATGTGGTTTCTCTATTTACTAGTATTCCTATGTGTGATTCACTTGATATTATGAAATATGAACTTGAAAACAATCAGGAAATATTAGTTAAATCTTCATTATCAATAGAAGTTGTAAATTGGCTAAAACTTTGTTTAGAATCTACATGTTTTACCTGTAAACACAAACTATACTGTCAGGCAAATGGATTTGCAATGGGTTCACCACCATCTTCAATTATAGCAAACCTATATATGAAAGCTCTAGCAGTAAGTTAGGATGAATTTGATAGATGACCTTAACATCATTGTCAGGATTGGTTGAGTAACAGAAGTCGATTAGTTGTTGTAAAATAGAGCTTCTTATACCCTTTCTATCTCCCTAGTAAAATCATGCTGGAATGTGCTTTCGTATCCGCATAGAGAGCATTCTCTGGCAACAGCTTCACATGGGCAGCACATCCAACTGACGAGTCCTGAGTGGGACGAAATGTGCGTCTTGAATTCCACTAAATTAGCTTATTTACACATTGTCTTAGAGAACAAAAGAGCTTTTACACCACTAATAAAAGAATCAGTTGCAATCTATAGTGAGTGATACATTTTACACGTATTAGTCATCCGATAAGAGATTGTAATTCTTCCACTTCTTATATTTTGCATAAATTTTTTTTTCATTTTTGATTTACAGCTTGATTCCACACTGTATTTTTGGTACAAGTATGGAATTTTCAGCATGTGATATCGGTAGCCCAAATTTTCCAGGCCGACCATAGATATCAGGTGTGCGTCGGTGCGGGCTCAAACCCCGGACCATGTACATGGTCGGCGAGAGTCTTAACCACTGTGCCACCGACACACAAATAAAGTCATTATCGTGTTATTCTATAGAAGTTCGTAAAAATGTCGTTGTATAGGTCGGTGAAAAACGTATATGGAAGGACATAGTAAGTCAAATGTTCAACTTTTAAAAGGGCATAAAGCAAGATTGACATAGTATTTACAAATTAATGTTACCCTATGCTTAAATTAAGTGGATAGAGTATTAATAAAATCAACACATTGACAAATCAGAGGGCTTTAAAATAACTGTGATCATTCCATACGCCCACACACAATCGTAGAATACCTGGTTTGACAGTATTGTACTTCTTTGCCTTATTTCCATTGTCTTTCATACTATGCTATGCAACAGCAACCAATTAAAATCCAGTTAATTAAAATGAGGGTTAAATCACATGATCATGCAAGTGAGTCACGCTGTATAAAATAGTTAAAAATACTTGTTCTGTCCTGTTCTCACGTAGAGCGAGTGATGGTGATAAAGTAAACAGTGCGACACTGTGTTTCTAAGTTATTCCATACAAAGAATGTTTCTGCCTTTACACCTATGCCTGGTGTTCGCCTCATTTACCATGGCGATTTCAACAACAAATTATAATTCACCCAAGAACTTTAAATTCAATTCTGATGCTGTTGTCTGTGCTGGAGAATACTACGAATTCGAATGTCAACTAGAAAAATTCCCATTAGATGGATTACTGGCAATTTATAAGCTTGAAAATCAATTTGTCCCAGCCAATCTAAGCGCTGAGGAAACACAAGTGGCGAACTCCTTTGGTAAGGAGCCACTTCCCGGATTAGTCATCGATACCTTGAGAGATATCTTCGAGAAGCATGGAATTCAGAAACGGGTAAGTATGAAGTAAGCTATCAGGTTAGTATAGCAGTGTAATTTTAACTTAACTTACCTGTATGAACCCAACGTCTTGGGCCAAGTTATACTTTGGGCACCACACCAATGACCTTGAAATTCTCACTTGGCAAGTTAGGGAAACCTGGCAAGTAATGTTGTCTTTATCAATAAAATATGCTCGTCGAAGTGTTTTGCTATTAAATGGGGTATCTGGCATGTTTCAACCTAGGTTTTTGGGGAAAGATTAAGTTATACTTTAAGCCAAGGACAAGTTAGGGTTAGATTAACCTAATGAAGGCGACATTAGGGTTGTTTCGAGTTAGATTACAGTTAGTTTAAGCATATTTTCACGATAGGGTTAGGTTCAGGAAAGATTAGGGTTATTGTTAGGGTTAGAAGACTTAAATAGTTACATGCATAGAATGTGGTTAAATTACTCTGTTTATATAAGAATAGAACTTGTGCACTGTAATCGAGTTTAATTCCATTAGGGGTAAAATTTATTTTGATAAAGTCTGATGACAGCGTTTCGAGGACATTTTATTGCTCAGTAAATATCACTATCCAACAGTATGAGACTTTATCGAAATAGATTTTACCCACAATGGAGTTATACTCTGTTGATACTTCAACCGAAAAGTGAGAGCTATTTTTATCACATGTGAGGGAAGGTATCCTCTGCAATACTTTTATCCAGTTTTATACATTTTTTCATAAATATATTTGTTCCAATACACAAAAATGACTCCTTCACGTGATTGCTGCGTTCGAGGCCACTGGTTGGTAGCTAGCGGTACTTAAACTTAAACTTTGCGCATTTTTGTTCCCAGCATATACTACAGTAAATATTGTTATTTATTTGGAGTCTAACTAGATGAACACCGTCAAGTGAATGACCCTATGAGAAAATTTGTGGGTGAGGGAGGAATTCGGAGTAATTTTGAAGCATATTGACTCATTTCCCAAAATGTTTTGCATTTAGCTGCCTCCAAACTACCTCGAATTGGCAACACTAGAGAGCAGTCGGCAAAGTCAAATGACCTTGAACCAGCCAACCAGATGACTAGGCATTACAAAGGGATACTGTTCATAATCTTCGTCGCTCATGACGAAAACTATTCTAACGAAGTCAATGGATTCCCCACACAAACTCTTCACATGAATAGACATTATGCATATATATATATATATATATATATTGTTTTTGAGTCTTTGTATAATGTTTGGAAAGGTGTACACAACTATTTGTCTTTCATATCTAGTACGCAAGTTAATATATGAAATTTGATCTTGTTTGTAGAATCGGACGTATGACAAAGACAATAGAATATTTAAATATATACATGGACCATTAAATGACAATGATTCTGGACTTTATTATTGTCGTTTTATTATTCCTGATGGGGTATCAAACATGATTTCGCCTTACATGAAACTTACAGTTGATACAAACTGTCCGAAAGGTAAGAATTTTCTTCTCTTTAGTTTATTATTTTCCGAATGAAACTTGTGGCTTCAAGCTGTAAGCTTTGAAGTTGCACAGTAGTGGTAGTGATGTTGTTTTTACATCTTGGGGTTGCTAGCCTCACACCCAACCATCCGTCTTTTCTAAACTTACTGCCCCGGCTAGGCGATGTTTAGGAGTGTGACGCCGGGAATCGAACCCCAGACAACATATTTGGTTAGCTAGAATTCTACCTTTAAATCACTGTTTGTATATTTATTTAATGAATACGAAAGTTTTCATGAATTTGTACATTTTGTTTTCAATAGTGAGTTGAGCATTCAATAGACAGTAAAACTGTTTTTTTTGTCTTTTTCTGCAACTGCACACTCGTAGTGTGTCTTGTATTGAAAGTATGCCCAAAAGTAATGGCGCATGCATTATTCTCATTAGCGCTGATATTTTGTTTCGTATTATAGTGTAATAAGCAAAAGTGTGAAGCTTGTATTTCACTTGTTTTCTCATTTGTTCGTGCACTATCCAATACTATTTTGAGCTAAGTAGGGCGGAATTAGACTATCATAGACCGGACCTCAGTAACCTTGAACGACCAATCAGAATTCCGATGCGGGAATGCTGGCATAACCGTTAGAAAAATGTATTATAAACGTCACAAGCATGATATTAAACCGAGTAATAGTCTCTAATGTGTTGTACAAAGGTTTCCTAATTTATTATCCAAGGACGATCATCAGAGAAAGCGTGCTACGCCCAATAGATGTATTCATCAATGTGGCTAAAAAGCATGGTATTTGCAATCGATTGACATTCCTGATTCTTTTCTTCAACCTCCTCCTAAATCCTTTGACAGAGTTAGTATGTGTGCCCTTGGCTGGATCCAAAGGTCAAAGGAGTGGTTGAAACGATGGTGAATATAACACAAAGATAGTTATATCCCCTCCATTCATCAGTATGTATGGTCGTTCCTGGCAATTCCATGCATTACATGATTGGAATTAATGTGTCCGGTATTTCTGCTTGGTATTGTTCCCATGACACCTTCGCTAAGTGAAGTGTGGTGGATTCCAAACACCCACACTTGATTAACCTTTCTCCCTCTTTTGTTTTACTTCTTCCTAGTGAGGACAGTTTCTATCGATGTGAACGACTACTCCTACTCCTCCAAGATAGCCAGTAATGTCCTCCAACTTCCATGACTCTATGTCTCTACAATCCTGATACCGATGCACCATAGAGACCAGGCTGTTTCCTGTTTCAGCTGCTGCTGACCTTACAGGTGTTTGTACGATCCAGCAATACATAAGGTGTAGGATGTCCGTCAAAGGCAGCTTAGACTTCGAGTAAAAAGTACGTAAGTAACAAGTGGAATACTGCACCTACCCTCATAAACAGACTTTCCCTTATGACGTGAATTGCGTGTATAGCAGTATCTGTCTCCAACACGATTGTATTGCTCTAGCGTCATAGTATCTCCACAAACACAAATCATAGTTACTCCAGTTAATCCATTATTAACAGAGTAGTTAAGTGCTCGAGCTTCGCAGAACTCACTAACCTAGGCTATAGACGCAGACATGATTTCTGTTTGGAATGATCGTGGGAAGCGTCCGGTTAATCTGATTTGTCCTTCAGGGTTAACCGTGTAAAACTTTATGTCTATAATACTTCACTCTAAGTAGAATGTATATATATATATATATATATATATATATATATATATATGTATATGGGTGGATGGATGGGAAATGACTTCACTCCAATGCCTGGATTAACTTTGTTCATTTAATGGTGACTCCTGACTATAGCAGTCCAAAACGAAATTTCCTAATGAACGGATTAATTACTTTGACGAATTCATTTACAGAAATTGGCTTAACGTCACCATGGGGAGGTTTTTTGGAACATATGCAAAAATGTTATCCTATGTAGCCATTTTTTCAACATTGCATTACCTGTATATAGACGTATGCGTCGGTGGCGCAGCGGTTAGGACTCTCGCCGACCATGCACATGGTCCGGGGTTCGATCCCCTGCCTACGCACACTTGATATTAATGGTCGGCCTGCAAAATTTGGGCTACCGATATCACATGCTGAAAATTCCATACTTGTACCAAAAATACTGTGTGGTGTGAAGCTATAATCATCAAAATAAATAAATATTTCAAGTTGCGCACTTCTACTTCTACGAATCTGATTGGTCGCGAGAGGTAGTTTCGTTTTCGGCTGCTTTAGTTTAGAGTCATCCATTTAATAATATATAGTTAAGTGGTTAATTAACAATAGTGAGGTATTTTAGTTCATTGTTACAGTTCATAATATATATAAGACACCAGTTTCAAACACTTTCGAGGCTTTAATCGTCTACCTAGACAATACTTTCAGTGCTTACTTTAGAATAGAGCAAGCTTATGGAATTAATTATTCATGAATGAAAAGCCTCCTTTCCTAGCGAGTGACCTTGACCGTATTGAGTTGTCCATTGTCGCTATATTCGCCTGCATTATTTGTATTATTTAAAAGGACATTGGAAGTTATATATGTCCAAACCAAGTTCACTTTTAACGGTTTGAAAAGGACATTGAAAGCTTTGCAGTTAAATCAATCCAGCTAAGTGAATACAACAGCACTGAACTGTGTCTGAATCAATCTAAACATTGTGTATTTATTGATATGTGTAATCGACATGCATGCAACAAACAATCTTACTGTTTCAGTCAACATGTTCAGTCTTGATGATTTGCCTTCTTCGTTATTACGTGACTACTAGACTGATACCCTACTACTGATTGACTGCACTAAGAAGTAACTGAGGCGGCAGCCAATAGTCGTTTAATTTATTGTTTTCCACAATGACTTAAAGTGTTTGACTTTTACTGTTTACTGTTTTGTTCAAGAGAAATAAGTCAATTTATGAACTGTTAATAAATTCTGCCAGGGAATTTATCACTGGAATTATAATTAGGCTGTGTATACTATTGACTGATTGTAATGATACACAAATGAGGTTATTTGTCTACTTTTAATGTGGTAGACAGGCATTTCTTACCACCAGATTATTGTATTTCTTGTATAAATGGTAATACACAGTCTGAATATTCGAACAGTTATCATTCATGTGAGTTCTTTAAATGAATCAGTCTAGTAAACCCATTGTCTCATTCTGCTGATAGAGATTTAATAGCGTACCTGGTGAATCTAAACTATAGCAGCCCAAAACGAAACTACCTCTAGCGACCAATCAGATCCGTAGGGAGTAGAAGTGCACCAGTTGAAAACGTCTCTATCCAATTAATGGAATGGCCAAAGTTCAACAATGGCGTCCCGAAATTGGGAACGCTCCAATGACCTTGGACGCATGCTAGTCGTTGGCTAATGGCACCTGTCATTATCATAGCCCAAGTACCAACGCTATTTACCAGCCAAGCAGCAAATTTCACTCAGATCATGTTTTTAAGTACAGTTTGGACAATGTGTTAATGGCTCGTTAGGGTTTGGTTTACGGTTAGTACTAAGGTTAGGATTAGTGATACGTTTAGGATTAGGGTCACGATTAAAGTTGCAGTTACTTTACCCACTGGGCAAACAGAAAAATGAGAAATTGTTGCACAAAACATGACATATATTTACAAGAAAATGCATGAAACCACACTAAACAGGCCATCTTTCTCTGACATGACTTAAAAATACGTTGGCATTTGGGCTATGATAATGACAGGTGCCGTTAGCCAACGACTAGCATGGGTTCACGGTCGTTGGAGCGTTCGCTCTTCTGGGATGCTGTTGTTGAACTTCGCCTTGATTTGTTTGAAATTCAACCATGGGTTGATGTCAGTTAGACTTGGTAGCTGTTTCATTCTATTTTGGAACTCTTCAGCGGTGTACACCCACTGAATATCGAAGTTAAGGCTTCGAAGTTACGAGATGAATCTTGTTGACCATTCAGGCACTTTGGCCGGAACCCGATAGCCCATGAATTTTAACTTTTATCAGTTCGTGAATTTAGCGTGACCGCCAGCTAATGAATGTTATTGAAGAGTATTTGTCCTCTCACCCAACTTGGGGGGCCCCAGCGGTCATAACTTCTCACTAGAACTCCAAGCAACTCTATCTTGTAGCTATTCACTAGTGAGCATCAGATTAATTTCCTACAGTTAGTTTGTTCAAGCTGTCAAACTGCATATTGAGGTGCGAAACTTCTACACTTAGGAACATCGACTAATTGAACGGCTATATTTAATTAACTTTTTTTCAGATTAGAAAGGCCATCAGTTGCACTATGTTTGCAAAATCGCGGGTATTGGGAATCGTGAATGACGGTTCTGCGAAGTCGGCCGGAAGTGAGCATGTTAAGGATTAGAACGTCATAATAATTAACGAATGTGAGAAAAGAATAAGGAATGGAAAACATATTTTTATATTTTATATTATTGGCTACAGCTTGATTCCACATCGTACTTTTGGTACTAGTATGGAATTTTCAGCATGGATATCTATAGCCCAAATTTTGCAGGCCGACCATAGATATCAGGTGTGCGTCGGTGCGGGCTCGAACCCCGGACCATGTGCATGTTCGGCGAGAGTTCTAACCACTATACCACCGACCCCGTCATACATGCAAGTGAGAAGAGCAATCGTAATCAATGCATTCACCTTATCGTATACCTGATTGATGCGCCCTCCAAAAATGTAATGGATGGCTATAGAAGAACAAATAAATGTTCAAGGTACCAGATGAAAAAAGTCTATTGTTTCAGTAGTTTGTAGAAGACGGGACTATCATTGTCTATGGCAGATGGTTTATCCCCTTGTAAATGACTGACTAGGGGTGCTTATTTGATGTCTTTACGTGTCCAATATTTGCTGGTTATGATTAAGTAGGACTTGTATTCATTCTTTGACCCCATACGTTTCACTGGCCATTCTGTAAGAATTCTCTTCTATTTGTGATAGATTTTTTACAGTAATGTGTTTCAGACAATGATTACTAAGTTTTCATGAAAACGAGTTTTGAAAAATTACATTTTATGAAAACTATGGATGTAGTAGGTGCGTTAGTGGCACAGTGGTAGGATGCTCGCCAGCCAGCCAGCCATGCAGGTGATTCGGGGTTTGATCCCCGATTGACGCACTCCTTTACCTCACTACGCCTTAAATGAGACTGATAAAGATGGAAGGTTGGTTGGGCATGAGGCTAGCAATCCCATCTCATTAAAATAAACACCACTGCTACCGAAACTTCAAGTCTCTGGCTTAAAGCCCTATGTTCCACTAAACTAAATAGATTTTGTTTTCCGTGTTGAATGAAAAGTGATTTGATTATGATAGCTAGCAAAGTAAGTTTGAATGAACGACCTTATTGAAAATCAGTTTTCAATGTTCCTGCTGGAAGAATGATCACGAAGAGAAATCTTTGCTCTATGGAGAATTTACGTTTTTAGTGTTTTGTTTCGTTTTTTGATTTGCATTTTGATTTGACAAAATCTTAACAGCTTGGCTGTATCTAATAGAGGCAGCTCTTTTCAATTTCTTCTTACACCTTGACTACTGCTGGCAACTTGAGCTAGAGAAACACCTTTCCTAGCCTTTTAGAACCACTCTACCAACTTCATATTGAAGCTCTCGATCTGCTGCTAGATCTCACTACAGGCTTCACTGCCCAGAATTCTGGGATCTTAGAGTTTAAATGCATTTTGCGCCTATAAGTCAGGCATACGAGAATTAAGCATGTTCATCATTATTTACTCAACCGTAATTGACCGGACCGACATCATGAATCTACAAAATTAACTTAAGAATACCAGGAAGATTCTTTGCCCACTCTTCCTAAACAGCACTAAGATACAAAACTCGCTACTGAACCGGATTCCCTTAGGTAGTCGTCTATGTTGTCTAGTTAAAGTGATCGGTAAGTAAAAGGGGGAGAGATCGTGATACTCGCTTGTGTCCTTTCATAATCTCTGCTTGTCTGCAAACTGCTAAAGTAGACAATGAGTTTTATTAAAAGCTGTCTAGTTTTCTGTTAAAAGCGAAATGTTCTAGTATAGGTTATCTTAGCAGGGGATTTTAAAATAAGTTTTACCAACCTCCTGTGAAATGTGGTATTTTTAACTTTCAGTGATAACTTTATTAAGAATACTCTAGTGTCACACTTAATTTCTCCCCAGTTGTTCCCCTGTGTGTATTGTACCATCCGTATTGTATTTATTCTCTTGTTGGTCTTATTTCAACAAATTCTACTCGTCTAGTATGCTATTTGGGGTTGTTCAAATTGGTCTTTTTTATTGATGAGTTTTTTTCTTCGTCAGACTAAATTTCAGTTTCTTGTCGTTTAAAACTCAACTTGGTCTTATTTTTTTGCATCAGGCTTATGCATAAATTTCACTGTATGATTGTGAATTGGGATGCTTCGATTGTATATAGTTGTTCTTAACTTGAATTTGCACGTTGTTATTTAGATCTGTCAGTTGGTTGCATTTCAAGTAATCTCTCCCTTTTTTTAGTATGTTGAAAAATGTTATCACCTGTTGGCTAGTTTAGTATGTGGTGAGAGCAGGCTGCTGGCCAGTTGGTAGACATTAATTTACGTCAATGTCTAGGTCACTAATATTGACCGTGAGAAAATATGAACAAGGCTGATTCAACAACTAATCACAGCAGACTTAAACGTGGGCAAATAAGATTCGAAGATGTATGGATTAACTTTCCGAGAAAACAGAAACAACCAATGAGAAGACTGTGTTTGTCTGCTTGAATAAGCTATAATAATGTACATGAAATATATATAAATACGTGCTGATTTCCGTAATAAAAGGATCTGTTGCCAGCTCTTGTCTTCTGCTGTTACAAGTAGCAATAGCGTTTTTGTTTAAGATGTTAGAGATAATTACCTTACTAATTAAACTGAAAGAATTTAACTGTTGACATAGATATGCCTTTTTGTGTTAACCTTCTACTTGGTTGTAAAATTTCAACTTAGTCTCACATGTGTATATTTACCCTTTCTTTCTTTATTTTTCTTTTAGGATGGAAGTACTGGATTCATTCACTGATTCCGTATATCTGTTTGCTCCTCTTCTTGTCAATTATTGCGATATTCATTTACATATGGAGACGTAAATCTGTGTTCACTGTCTACAGGTTAATATCTATTTCCCGTTCAATTGAATATTATGAGCCAATTATGAAACTAAGAGACATAGACAGTAATGCATATACTTCAGATCCTATTCACGAGCCTGTAATAAAAACAAAAACTGTTGTTACTCGACATCCTCCTAGGTTTATAACTGATCTGAGAGAAAAAATTCTGCATAGAACAACATATTTAGATCGTCAACCACATTCGTATGTCTATCCTGATTCAGACGATGCACACCGCATAAAACAACTGAATGATCGATTTTTAGCCTCTTATCGACTTGAAAAAGATGGAGATTATGAATTCTGTCGGCATAATCTTCAATTAATTGGTCGTTTGGGTTCAGGAGCATTTGGAATTGTGTATCGAGGTATAGCAAAAGATCTACCGAAAGGTCCAAAGATAAGTGGAAGCTTAGATGTAGCTGTCAAGACGTTAAGAGGTTTGTGATTTATCCGTTCTCTTTTTGGATGATAAATTTTATTGAACTTTGAATAAGTTGTATGAAATTTTAAATCAGTGATCTCATTTGTTTTACTCATTTTACTTTTTTAGACCATTTTATGCTTGAGTTTTCCCTGGTAAATTTCTTTATGTTGTGAAGTGCCACTAAATATGGTGTTAAGAAAGAGCAATAAAATAATTTGAATTGTAAACTGTTAGTGAAACTATCTGAGTTGGTCTTGAGTCGGTCGGCAGACTGATTCATTGAATTGATGATGATGATTTAAAGTGCAGTGAAAGCCTGGTGGGTGGGCGGAGCGATTGAAACCAGCGCCGACTAAATCACTAGTTCAGTGTTCTACCACCAGCTGTGATGCCAGATCTAACTACTAACCGCGTCATCAGTTGATTGCAATTAATATGAGTAGTACATGGCTGTCGTGTAAATGTTTGATACGGTAGTATCCGTCTGTCATAACAACACTGGCTACCCTTTTTGGTATTCTCCGGTCAGCCTGAGCGAGTCATACTGAATTAAAAGAAAGGAAGCAGATCGCGGTAATTGACACGGTGTTAGGACAGTAAAGCTTCTTTGCTAGATGTGAAGTCATAATTATATGCATGCACTGATATGATAACTTGATTGAACAGTTTGTGACTGGTTTATGGCTGTATGGCTTAAATTTCTGAGGTTTTGGAAATATGAAACACCATAGTTTTCGTGTAATAATGCTGTTGTATTGTCACGGTTATTTCTGTTGTTGTTGATCGGTCGTTTTTCCCTGTTTGGCTTTTGTGTCTATCTCAGTATGTGTATGATCAGCTGGTCATATTGCAATATCTGAAGGCATATTCTAGTCAAGTTAGACGACCCCACAAACCAGTAACACGCTGTCATAACAGACAGCCTTTTTGAATCATAAAGATAAGGTAATAATCATTAGACCTTATGCTATCTCAGATGTCTACTTAGTTGAATGGATAACAGGTGCGATGAAATATTCTAAAGATTTCACTGAAATTCAAGTTCAATCATCATTCTATGTTGGGTTTTCAGCCTAGCAACGTGCGGAATACCTTCGTTTACACACCACGTCCTAGCCAACTTAAGAGTTGTAGCTATATTGGGGATAGCTTTAAAGGACGTTTGAATGACTACACTTGCTGCAACTACAATGTATTTCATCATGGCCCACTATCCTAATGTATTTGAATAGCCTAGCGATGATATCATTCAGCAGGATTCTGTGTACACATATACTTGTGTTCACTGGATCACTTGTCTACACGCTGATTATATTGGCTCTTAGAATCCCAGTTCAGAAAACTTATTCCTTCTGATCATTGTATATAGTACGGGTGGGTATGTTGGGGATAAGCATTAGCACTTTAGACAGACAGTCTCTTTATAATCTACAATATAACTTAAACAATTTTTGTTCTTTTTGTATATTTCGCCTTACTTATTTCTTATAAATTCTAATTTTTTTTTAAATAGTTATGATTGACAATTGAAATTAGTATTAGCACTAGTAGACTGACTGAATCCGATTGAATTGATAACAGAAGATAAGATAAACAAAGAGAAGTTTGATGGGTGTTGGTAGGTGGATAGATAGGCTGGTTAAATTTATCTCCTCTTTTCAAGATGATTCTCAATTATTACATTCCTTTCAGTGTCATCAATACTTTTGAAGTATTAGTGATTTTATTTATTTTACTCGTATAAAGTTTATTATACTGTGCTTGTCAAACAGAAAGTAATTTTATTTTTATTGATCAGTGTTGTTATATCATAGTTCCACTTAATGGAATCTACATAATACTTTTTGATAAATGATTATTCAACTCTTAAAGCGTATACCTAAATTAATTAACTAATTAAGTGAACTGAAGTTCACAACTATATCAAGTGATTTATCTTCATCTAATTTACTTATACACACACCCAAGCCACCAGTTCATTGAGGTAATGACACGTCCTCCTTTATGGCTGTGTGGTGTGGCCATTGAAAGTGGAAGATATAAAGAGACTAGCTGTCTTTGACAACAGGTATTCACATTCTATCTCCAGTGTAAGGTGGTGGTGTAATATGGTGGGTAATGTTAAAGTTAGCTATTGAGGTGAAGTTAACGGATGAGGTTGTTAAGCTTCATCGATTGAAGTGGTTAGGACACGTGTTGCGCATACTGCCACCTCTTTTCTTGACATACAATGTTTACTGACATAGGATTACGTCAGAAAAGATTTAAGGGTGGTCAGACCAAACCCTAGAGTCAATCCATTAAGTCTTGGAGAGTTGGTTTAAGGCAGCTATGTATGTAAGTGAAAATCAAGCAATACTGGAGAGTTATTTCACTGAATTGTATTCTGATCAATTGCTGTCCTAAGAACAACTCTCGTTTTGATCCACCTTCCTCGCCTAACAATGTTAACTAGCATAGGATTAGGTTGAAAAGGAAGTTAGGTGTGGTCAAATCAAAATGTAGTATCAATCCATAGAATCTGTGACTGTTTGTTTGAGTCATGTAGGGAGGTGTAGACTGCTTGGCTGGGGTGCTTGAGACACTAAGATCTAAGGAATTGCAAACGCATTCACTCTTTGTAATGCCCCAAATCCATCAAGTCTTTATATTTCTCCATGTTGTTTTACTTTCTACCGTTCATATTATAGTTCTTCCAAAGTATTTTTCTCTTTCTCCATGTTTGTGTGCTACATGGAATGTGATAAGTTGGACTACTGCACTTCTGTACTAAGTCCTACGTTGAAAATTCGGTTAGTCAGTCACTCAATCATGCATAATAAGGAGGCGTATCGAAATGGAATGAAGTGGTTGCTTAGTTGTCTAATTTTTAAAAGGTTCTCTCTAACAGCTTTACGATACAATACTTCACACCATCAATGATTAAAAAGCAAATTGTAATAATTGTATAGTTGTTTCATATCAAAACTTAGATACAGCGTCTTTTACGCCAATTCACAACACATTTATCCTGAAATCTTGATGATCAACATAAAAGTAAACCGGTATAAAATTAATTTCTTTGTGTATGTTGAATACTGTGAACTCTCCCCTACTTCCCCTGAATGTTTTTGTTTGTCGTTTTTATTCAGACGAATTCACTGAAGGTGATATTTATGAATTTTTACGTGAAATGGATATCATGAAACAATTGAGTCATAAACACGTCATTGAATTATATGGAGTCTGTACAGAAAATGGTAAATTATAATCCTAATGATGCTTTTTATTTAAAAAAGTCAGTAGAGCTTCATCTGTATTCAGTTATTTATTTATTTATTTTTCCAATGAAATTATCAGTTATTATGAGAATTATGATCTGTACAAGTATGGGCGATGGGGGGTATACACTAGATAATTTAGAGAAGAACAATATCACTGTCAGTCGTACAAGATACCTTATAACCCTTCGGTTCCAGATTGAACATAAACCTTCAATAGTACAACTCTGTTTCCCACTGTTCTCTAAAGTCCCCTTCAGCTGACCCAGCTGTCGCCTATAAGTTTCCATCTGTTCCCTAAATAATCTCCCTTATGTTAGTTACCTTGTGATGCCCAACTCGTCGTTTCCCGTTAGGTTTTGATTTGAAGACCTGGCACGCAATGTCATTCAACGGTCTACTTAGTGTATTTCCAATTCATCTCCATTTCTTTCTGCATATTGGGAGATAGGCTGCTGGATGGTTCGTTCCTAGATTCCCTTGTTGCTAATTCTTTTTGCCTAGTATGGATCAAAGACAGCTGTTGATGAAAGTCAACAGCCTGCTGTTTGAAATGCTTTCCATGAAGTTGTGAGCAATCAATTCTCTGAACTACATAGAAATTACTTACTTGACATTAATGTTGAAAATCCGAATCTTGATTGATCTTTATGCGCTAAGTGCAGTCCATCTGCACAGTGATTTCACACGAATGAAGGTCTCTCTCTATTTCCTAACCTAGCCGACTTTGATATCCTTATCCGTGTCACCTGCAGTTGGGACGATGATGTCTAGGTTAATGAAAGAAGTGACTCCTCTTAAGTTCGCCCTGTTGACGATTGGCTCTCGTTGTATCATGTACGAATACCATCGAACCAGGTGAACTTATTCCTTTCAATAAATCCTGTGAGACTATAATAAAATTTGTCTTCTCCAAAGTCAGTGAATGTATGCGTATAATTGTTAACACTGTCCTAGCTGTGAGACTAAAAATCAATATCTTTTGTTTCATGAATTGGCAGAAGTTAGAATTCATGCACTGGCCATTGGATCGGGCCCCAGTGGCTTAATGGCCTACGAGCTCGCTATCCTTGTAACCAGAAGGTCCTGGTTTCGAACCCTAGCGGTAAATACCTACTGATGAAGAGCTCCAAACTAGGACGAAGCAGTCTATCCAGTACTCCCAGTTGGTTTTCTAATGGTCCTCTAACTGATGTCAGCTCATGATGAAATCCTGTAACCAATATCTTTTGTGTTTGTAAGAATTTACGTCAGACTTATAAATGATTCGTATTGGATAACTGATATGAATTCACGCTATAATATATACAGTGAATGTGATAAACACTTTACATTTGAATTCATTGAATCTTTGTCATTTTGATGTCGAGTTTTTCTTCAGTAGTTTAAAACAGCTTCAAGTTTCAAGTTGAAAACTTGTGGTGTATACTTTGGTAGTTATTTTTACTTACTTTTTATTCCTTTACGTTCCCAGTGGAAAATAAGGCTTCAAGCTAGAGTCTTGAAGTTTCGGTAGCAGTGGTGTCTACTTTTACGTGATGGTGTTTGTTATGTACTCGTCGCTAAATTATTGTTATGGACTGGTCGAGAAACTAATAGTCCTGACGCAAGAAGGCGGAAATCAGAAGACCACTAGGTTTGCGATGATACTTCTATTTTACAAACACCAGGAGAAGCAATAAGTGGTATCACACCAAAGTGGTAAGTAAGTCACAAAATTGTGAGAACGAAATATATATATGACAAGTGTGTGAACAATCAATAGACAGTGTTAACATGAATGGCTAATTATAATGAAGTATCGATCCATACATACATAGTGAAATATAGCAGACATGTCAACAACCACCATATATGAATATATGTCACCAAGCAACGGACCGTCAACAAACACTCATATTATATATAATATAAGGAGAATATACATTGTTAAAGGAGACAAGTGAAAATGGTCACAGACTAAGAGAGCAAACAGAAAGAGAGACCAACATATATATAATAGCTAGCCTGATGGCCAACCTTCCCTCTTTACCAGTTTTATTAATGGCGTAGTGAGGTAAAGGAGCGCCTCATCGGTCAGGGATTGAACCCCTAACCATATGAGTGGTTGGTGAGCATTTTATCGTTGTACCACCGGCGAACTTACTTCTAATGATGTTGTAATGAGCATAATCTTAAGATGGATGCTTGAATGTTTCATATGCAGTTTTGTAATGCCAGTTTTGTTTTTGTTTTTCAAAAACCAATTTTAGGTTCACCATTTCTTATCATGGAATACGCTCCATATGGGAATCTTAAAAGTTACCTTTATCGTCATCGAAAGATTTGGACAAATCGTGAAAAGTTAAATATTGTACTTTTGTGTTTTGGACATCAAGTTGCTTCTGGTATGAAATACCTAGAGTCGAAATATGTAAGCACAATGATAATTTATTATTATCATTATTACTATTGTGCCTTATGTATACATTGATCTTGGGGAAATTACTTGCCATTTTCCCGTATTATTAAAGATTAGAAAGTCAGTCGATAGAGAACTAACTGTATTTGATCCACGTTGGCATACATCATCTATAAGGGGTATCTGTATCTTGAGGAATACTCACTCTCTTTTAGGCCTAATTCGCGTCAGCGTCAACGTCTATATCAATGAAAAATTATTCAGGTCACAATCGAATTCCTTTAGACCTGATCATCTGTATGAACAAACCAACGTAATTCGACGAAGTTAAACTAACTGGTAGGAACGTTCAAATGACCTTGAACTTATGCTAGTCGTTGGATAACGAGACCTATCATTATTATAGCGCTAATATGAACTCTACTCACCAAATAAGGAATGAGTTTCACCCAGATCACGTTTTTAAGTACTTTTTGGTCAGTCTGTTAATATCTCGTTAGGGTTAGGATTAAGTTTAGGGTTACGACTAGAGATAGGTTTAGAATTGGTATTATTTATTTTAATTTGCTTTATTATCCACATTTTCCTAGTAAGTAGTCGTCGGTCCTTTTACTGGAAAACATAGTAATTCAACTGAAGGCTTTTGGGGAAGATTAAAAAGCAGGATATAACAGGTTACAAAAGTAGCTCACCTTAAGTCGCCTTGGTGAATACATGTACAGAAACTGGTCTAGCTTAAAAGCTGATACTCTTCATAATGAATGGGACGTATTTTTAAGGTAGGTCAGAGAAAGATACCCTGATTAATGTGTTTTCGGGCATTTTCTTGCTAAAAGAAACGTCATTTTTGTGTAAAAATGACCTATTTTATGATTGGTCGGCTCAAGGTCAATTGTCCGTTCGCATCCTGTGGAAGGTGTTAGTTTAACTTTGCCCGTAACTGTGCATAGTTCTAGGCACTCGGTTGATTTTCAAGAGCTAGTAGGGATTTGATTTGTTTGAAGTTTGATCACGCATTGCACTCATTTAGAGAACCATTGAAAGTCACCGAAAATACCGATTTGAGTCATGACGAAAATAAAAGACAAATTCAGCGAAGAAAATTTTCTTTATCGACGAAATCATCCTCAGAGGCTGTACAGTCGTATTTATATTCACCAAAAATGTGTAGTAGTCTATTATTTGGTAATAGGGAGTAACATAACTGATATAATTACTCAGAAGTGGCTTTAGAAGTAAAAAAATAAAAGCTGTAAATTACGTGGTAATTAACGGCACAAAGTTAGAAATATGATAAGGTTACAATTACTATTGAGTCAGAGTAAAGGTAGTTGAGTGTCAATTTAACAAGTGTGAACATGTACAAATGGAATATATGAGAGTGATAATAGTGAATTAATTATTAAAGCAAAAGCAAACTAAAAGTAAAATTTAAGAAAAAAAATTAAAGTTTTTACAGGGAATGACTAGTGAAGAGGTTAAAACCAAGGTAGAATAAGAGACTGGACAAACTTTTTCTACATACAGAGTTCAGGGTTGGTTTGACGAATTGTGAATGTTACTACCTACTATCAATAGTTTCCATTTGTACTAAAGATACCTGGATGGTACTTTCATCATATGTGACGAGAATACTGACATGAAATTGATAACTAAAGAGTCCAACAGCTGCCATCCAGCCATCCAATTCACGTCGGAATCAAAGGTGTACTCAGAATTCCATCTTTCGGATGTTTTTCTAAAAAGGATGTAAGCGGAATATATCGCTTGAAATTAAGTCACGCGTAGATAAAGGCTATCCCGGTCCAGAACAAACAAGAAGCCGGTCACTGTTTCTACGGTACTATTAATAAACAAACCAATAATTATATATACAACAAACCTTAACGGTTTCAAGAGTATAAAGCACAACGCTTAACAGAAAGCAAGGTACCGCTATCAGAGCGGAATAACGTTTAAGCCGAAATTGCGAACTAGCCGGAACCAGACACGACCGTTCAGGTAAGCAGTCAGTAGAAGAATAAACCCAAATAAGGCATGGCATAAAACAGAGAACGTTTAAGAGAGATAGACCGAGCATATGCACAAAGATAGAATTTAATTGGCTACTTAACCAGGTAGGAAAATACAGATGAAGATCAATAAATAAGATAAACTAAATAAGATAAACTCGACAGAATAGTACAAAGTAAGACATGGGTCAGCAAAAATAACAGTTCACAAAATACTCTGATTGGGCCATGAGTTCAACTGTCTGACTAAACGGATCGAGGTAAAAACACATACACACAGTTCATTAAACAAGCAGGGATAGACACGTTAGGCATGGATAATTGGGTTGCAACAACGCTAGGCTGATCCGGGACAGGTTGACTTGACTCAAGGATGGGAATAGAATTGATCTTACAAAGGAGATGTGATGGTTCTCTTCAAAAATCCATCTACAGGAAAGCAAAATGGAATGGTCAGTACACGAATTTTCACAGTTGGGTCCCTTTGAGAAGAAAGAGAAACGTGATCCACTCCTTATCCTCAAGAATAAGAAGGATATGTTCCTGTGATATAATCGATAGCGGACTGGAGATACTCAGACAAGTCTTCGTAGAGAATGGATATCCTCCAAGATTTATCGAGAAAAACATGAAGTTGAAGCAAAAGCCTGAAAAAACCCAGACAGTGCCGAAGAAGCTGCTACTTATGAGCGTTGAATTTAAAGGTGATACCGCAGCTGACATTCTGAAAAATCGCTTATGCAGATCACTGATGAAAGCCTTCTTTACGGCTGAGCTACGGATCAATTTCTGCAGTCGACAAATGATCAACAAATGTGTGAAGGGTAAACTGCAGCTTTCGACCACTTCAATGTGTGTTTTTAAATTCACTTGTTCTTGTGGAGCAAGTTATATTGGCTGCACAAAAGAGCATATTTTCTGAACGCATCTCTGAACACTCTCCTGCATGGCTAGGAAAAGGACAATGCAAGACGATTACTAGCTCACTTCTCTAGCGCTTAGGGAACTCCAGCCACGTAGCTCCACCAGAGTTGTCTTTCAAGATCATCTACAAAGTGAAGTCAAATGACACAAAGGGCGTCAGGTTTCAGCTGACGGCTGATGGAATGGTCAGCGATCTTGCCTTGTAACCGGAAGTTCCTGGGTTCGAGTCCCGGTGGAGTGCATACTTATGAAAAGTCCTAAACTAGGACAAAACAGCTGGTTACTTCTCCCTGGTTTTCAATAGAGTCCTCTAACTGGCACCAATCCGTGGGCAAAATTGTATTGTCTGTTTGTTTCAGAAACTGTTGTTATTTCGGCAAAATCATAATTGCTAGTATCATGAGGCTATTTAATCGGTACTTTTTGTTCAATCTAGTCACAATTTATCAAACCTTGATAGGTAAATTTAACCTATAATGAATACTCTATATTTCCGTATATGACATCTAGAAGTGGATATGTAATAATCACACAGTTGTCATAGTACTGATAGTCTTCAGCGAAGTTAAACTTTAACACGCCACAGGTGCGAATTTACCATTGATCTAGCCAGAAACGCTAAGTCAGAGCAAGGCAGTGAAAGCAAGTTTATTACACTTATTCACAGAAAAAAGTTCTAAATGAAGTGTAGTGGTATTAAACAGCCTATCTGGTTCGTTTTAGGTTTAGGCTAGAGGACAGGTTATGGTTATGGTGACATAATTAGGGTTGGTTAGGAATATATGAAGGTCAGGATTGAGTTAGGGGACGGAATTCACTTCTCGAGTCCATTGTCCCTTCCAAGATCATTGGGGCGCTAGCACTTCTTGGGTATTTAAACTTGAGCCCTACCCACTTTTGTCATACGAATTGTCATTTCCCACAATCTGATGACTTTCTCCACAAATGAGTAGTGCATTTTCATTATTACCGTTATTCTTTAGATAATTCTAGTCAGATGGAAGCTTAGTGGGCTAGCTTCGACTTCCAGCCCTATGATTTGTTTACAAACTTATTTGAAGAGTTAGTCTTTTGGGCATAATTATTAAGGAAGTGTGCACTTGGAAGTGTGTGATGATTGTTACTTCCCGGCTGCCCACACCGTGGAAGTTGGTTGAATCTTCGGGTACCTGGAACAGAAAGAGGGTTAGTGTTACGTGACAGCAGAGCCTAGGGGACAACTCCTTGAAGCCGGTCACACACGGCCTGTATGAACTGGTTTCTTGTTTTGGTTCCGTATTAGTTACTGCCAGTTACGGACCACTGTTGGGGTAAGTCGGGATGTACAATTTTTGGTGTCGACCTTTTCTAACCCCTTCTCTCCAGAGTGGAGAGACAGCATAGCTGGCTGGCATGCAAGTCATCTGACGGAAACACCTCACTGCCGTTACATCCCTATTCCACAGCAGTACAACTTCGCCCACAGACCCCCCCCCCAGCATAGTGTAAAAAAATTCTTACACTATTCCGGTAACTACTTTTAGTCTAATCGCTATCCTAACAACCTTCCTGACATGGTAGTACCTGCAGAGACATTGGTTCCAGCCAGTGTAGCTTGTTGGGTCATGGCGATGTGCAAGCCCGACCACCACGTTAAGGTAGCAGCTATCGGTCAGGATATTTATCAAAGACGATTGGATGCCTAGGATTCACTTTTGCCTATAAATTTTTCTTAATCTCTTTAGTTAGTGTTGCCGAGTCAGAATCTGTGTGTTATCTGTGGTTAAAAGCACAGGTAATTTGACCTTGGAACCTTAGTGATTGTTAATGTACTGATACTTTCATTAAAATAACAGTACATAGGAAAATTATCATATAAGACAGACAAAGAACATAATAATCAGTATTAATGTGAGTTGAATTTCTTTGTTATTCGTGTTTAAGTGTGTATAGCAAATATCAGAATATATCGGACTTATTTTGACGTGGTCAGAGTCCATTTAAAGAGAAGTTTGACTGATCACCTGCCACACTGGTTTGGTAGGTAGTGATATTCAATAACATAATGAGTAGAAATTCCAGACTGTCTTCACACCATATATGTGTAGTTTTGTTGAAAGACTAAACAGCGACTGACATATCTCTCAGTCATATTCATCTCTCTAGATGAAAGCATTCTCTAGGATGACACGGTAGAATCTAGAATTTTCAGCAAATTACACAATTACCGTTTTTGTGTGGAGTGAAAGAGTGGACACCCAGTGGAACGTATCCACCAATGACCTTGAAACGACCATCCACATCAAACAAAACAAAGTTTAGTCCTTGAATCAACTGTAATCTTACCTGTAACCTAGCCTTAGACTAACCAGCTACTTTTTGAATATATTCTTACTCTTCTTTGCTTAGTTTTCTTATGAATAATAACGTCTCTTACCTGTTTTTATTGCCGTACTTCGATTCACCCCTCTAAAGTCATTGGTGCATTCGTTCCTTAGGGGTGTCATGTTTTGGACACAATTCCAGAAAATGATGCCTAGTATGTCATAGAAATGCTTACTAGAGTTCATTTCAATAAAATACTTCTATCTAAACATTCATTACTGAAGTGCTGAATTCCAGTTGGACAGTAAACTAGTCAAGTGGAGTTACTCATAAGAGAACCTTCAAAGTTCCCTAATCCAAATTTATAAAATTTTCAAGTTAGATCACGGGAGCAGTTACATTGGAAGGACAGAAAGAAGGGCATATCTACGATTTTCTGAACATGTACCAAAAAGCTTACGTCTAAAGGGAACAAATGCTTTAAATAGTGCCATCACCAGGCATCTTCTCGACACGGGTCATGAGGTGGACGTTGAAAAGTCGTTCAAAATTATCAATAAGCAAAATAGCTCAATTCTCCTTAAGTTTGCTGAAGCCATTTCCATCAAGCGCATGAAACCTGATTTATGCGTCCAGAAAGAAGCGGTTATCAGCCTTTCTTTGCCCTGGTAACTGGATAATTTCACCTCTCTTTCCTCCGAATGTGAAATGCTAAAAGTTTCCATTGTGTTTGATTATTACTGTTCGGAATAGTGGTTAATATTGCATATTTATATATGTATATATTTTTAGTGTATGCGTATATTGATCGATTGATTTTTGTTTAAACTGAACTCTGTGCAAGTATGTTAAAATTGTTCTTGTAGATATATTTAATAATGTCTTTGCCATGTAAGCAGCTGACGAGAAGGCAACGAAATAAAAGATGGTACCATTTTATTCTGCTAAAACTGTAGTTCTTGCATTGTTCAAAGAACTAATTTCAGTTAGAGAACCACCATTGAAAACCAGGTGGTACTGAAAAAGGGATGTATCGTCCTTGTTTGACAGTCTTCAGCAGAGGTAGAATAAATAGGCAGCATCACAACTCAAAAATAAAAAAAATTCGCACTTAATTAAAGTATTCCTGAAGGGGAAATTCTGATAAGAATGTAGGCGCCACAGAGTGTTAAAATGAACAATCAAACAATGCACGAAAAATGTATAATGTAGAAAATGACATGTGGTGGTCATTTAGCTAATAGACAAAAAACAATAACTAAAGTCAGTATTTTACCAAACTGAAAATTTGATAATCAGAGTAAAAGTAAACTAAATGGCATGTTGCTAGGCTAATCAAATGCAATAGAATAAATGTGTCCAAACATTAATTAATTGACTCATAATCCTGTGTCTTTTGGTTAATGACCTAGAGATACGTATTGTTTACAGTTAGCAGTTGATATTCTAAATCCGTCTATGTCACTTAACATAAAGTAGACAGCAGATTAAAACAATAAGGGTAAAATCAATTCAAATATGAATGACTCATTCACAGGTGTGTATGATGTTATGTTCATTGGGCTTGTATGAAAATGTGAATTGAATTAGTAGATTTACCCAGACAATAATGATGAAATACAAATTATGTTTTTACTCTAGCTTAAACCAATCTCGATAGCTTATCTTTTCTGAATGTAGCATACCATAAAATATCATATAACGAGAGTTGGAAATGTTAAGTTAAAACGTCTAACTTCTCAGTTAGTTAAAAAAGACCTGAAAACATAATAATCACACAGGAATGAGAGATAGCACACATTAAATGTGTTAGAATGATAGGAGAGCAAAATGTTATAAATGACGGAATCCCAAATGAAAATTATCACCGTTTATAGTTCAAGTCATCATCAATGCAGAGGCAAGGGGGGATGGTTTAGAGAAGGCAGAAGCACAGGAAGAGAATTTCAGTATTTTCTCTGCCATCATTGCAACATTTGTTTTCATTCTTCTTTAACCATTGTGTTTTCAGGTAGCTTAGATGTGCAAATTCAATCATTCTTGCTTCATCGGTATTTCAGGTTCGATCACCAGCCGATACCAGTTAAAGAATCATTCAAAAATCAAGGAGTACCGGATGGGTGTTTCATCCTTCTTTGAGACTCTTCAGCAACATGCATCTGTGGGGGCTCGAACCAAAGCCTCCCAGTAACAACGAGAGCTGGTGGACCATATATCCCACTAGCGAGTGGCTCCGTGCAGGAAATCACCTGGAGTTTTAGTGAGAAGTCAGGACCAGCCGGGTTCACAAATGACACATTAGATGCCGTTTCTAATATATATATATATATATATATATCGGGAATCGGCAGGAGTTGGGATTCACAGTCTATTGGGTCAGGTCCCAGCTTCTGAATGGTCTGCAAGCATGTCTTGTAGTCGGAAGATCCTGTGTAGAGACCCTAGTGGGTGCGAACCGCTGTAGAGTCGCAAACCAGGATGAAACAACTGTCCTTTACTCCTTGTTTTTCCAATGGTGTTTCGATTGATCTCGGCTAGTGATCAAACCAGTAACACATTAAATCCCTGCAAACCAACTGTTGATAATTGGTCGATATTTATGAAGAGAAACCACTTATATCTAACGTTTTGCTAATTTACAGTGCTTATATTTTTGTGAATTGCAGTATTACTGCTCACAATGTAGAATTCACTGACATATTACATACTTGTCTGTCGAATCATATTTTTCCAGTAACTTACCTCTAGACTTGCTTAAATCGCCAGTACCCTTAATTTTCACTGTTGTATAAACGGGTAACGCATTGTATTGCTACCTGATCTAAGAAAGGTATCAAAGTACAACGATTTAGGATTGCGGACACACAAGTGAATGAGTCCACTATGCGTGTCGGATCATGCAGCCTACGACTTTTAACTGGACTATGAAAGCTGTTCATGAACTCAGAAATAGATTTCATCTGCATCGCAATTCCCACTAGCGATCGGATAATAGCATAATACGACGAACGTGTGAACGTTCTTTTAGAAGCTCTATGTGCATCCCATGCTTCTTACAGATGTGAATTGAGACATATGGCTGCACAGACAGAGAATTTGTTGGTATTAACTGTATAGTGGTAACAACATTGTAGACACATCATCGATTGCTAAAAAATGAACGACGTAACTCAGCTTTTAGGAGTCGGGGTGGTTGTCCACATGGATGAAACAGTTTTGGTAAAAAAAAATACAATCATGGACGCCCTAGGGGTAAAAACCTTTGAGTTTTGGCGCTGTGTGATACTGAACTTTGTAAAGAATTAGTGGGAGTGTTAACTTATCGGAACTCATACACCCTTTCATCCATCATTCAGAGTTTATTGGCTCCTATCAGACGAATGAGCAGCTTACAATAGTTTATCAACTTTGAGTTACGTCCATCATAGAGTTAATCATTCCACAGATTTTGTTGATCCTGCTAACGGAACACATACTAGTCCCATCGAAGGTTTCTAGATAAGATTGGAAAACAGAATATATGCAGTAAATTGATCATAATGTGACGTTACTTATAGTCATCTCGATAAAGATATGTACAGAAATTGGTTGAAATACCGGAATATACACCTTAGATCATAAGAAAAAATCTAAAACAGGGCTGGAGTGAAGAAAATTCTCTTCTCTTTGAAGCCGCTAACTACGCTGTGTCTTCATCAATACATAGTAAAGGGCGCAAGAAAGTTGCAGAACTATTTCCACCTGAGGGTCAAATTATAGCAAATAACAAGATGAAAATTACGTAATGCAAATAAAGATTAAAAAAGTAATAATAAAAAATTTAAACAGAAACGGTTCAGATAAGAAACGTAATCGGTTAACAGTAACTGAGAAAGTTGACTGTTTATCATGGCCATGGTACAGACAAAGGTGGGATGTACTTCTTTTGGATGCTTAACGCTGGCTTGAATTTTTGAATCGATAATACGATAATACTTCATTTGACAGGTTTGATCAGATCTTTTATCAAGACTTTGAAGGACTTTTCAAATGGAACTAGATATCCTGAGTTCACCAGATGTTTTTTTACCCAGCCATATACACACACACCTACGTTCTCCCTTTGCTAATCAGGCTGGATAGTGTTTTTGAGTGCGTTTTACAATCCCGTGCTTTTTTTGACCGGTCGACCCAAGGTCTGTCGTTCGTCGTACTAGTTCGCCGGATTCGAGTACAAAAGAAGTTATAGCATGCGATCCTGGCACATCGTCTATTTTGTCATTGTGACCAATATTCTCGTACTACCACTAGTCTTATATCTATTATTATTATTATTATTATTTTGGCAGCTTATACATCGTGATTTAGCTGCTCGTAATATTTTAGTCGGTAGACAGTATACACTGAAGATAGCTGACTTCGGAATGACAAGATACTCTGAGACTTACTATCGTAAAATAAAAAGTGTAAGTTTACGTTGTTACTTATTTATCTATCGACTTATTCATTGTTCATCATAATTATCTTTTATTGCAAAGTGACCACTGAAATGACCTACTCTTTTATGTCTCTTTTAGTCGTTACTGAGATGAACGATGCAATGCTAAAGTTGAATTATAAAATTGTTTAAATTAGGAGTCATTTACCAATTATTGTTACTGAAGTGAATATATATATATATATATTCCACGTTTAATGAATACCTGACTCACAGAGTCTCAACAGAGGACTTTGCACAGTAATACCACACTCCATGTAGCATACGAAGATAGAGAGAAGAGAGAAAAGTAGAGGTCTAAAAGGATTATGGTGAGCAGAACTTCAGGGAGAAAGAATAGTTATATATGGAAAACTATGAGGGTTTAATGAATCGTGAGAGATTTCAAATAGTGAATTCGTCGTTGTCACTGAGAAGGATTTTGAGAAATATCAATAACAGTTTGCAGGGATCGGGTGCTAACAACCAGAGGACTCCAACCAAGCGACAGTTCACCTTCCTGTATGGCTCAAACCAACTCTCAAAGACTTAGTGAATTTAGGCCATGTTTTGGTTTAACCACCCCTAACTCTTTTATAATGTAGTCATATGTCAGTTAAGATTGTTCGACTTGGGGTATGCAGCAGGTGTTCTATCCATCTCAATCAATGCAGCTTGACAACTCCATTGATTGACTTTCCCTCCTTACCTAATACTCGACACCTAACCTCAATATTACTCACTCTATTATACCACCTTTTACGGGAGATGGAACGCTGGCACCTGTAAAGTAAGACAACTTGTCTTTTCATGTCTCCCACTTCCAGTGACTGTATTTCACGTCTATAAAGGAGGACGGAGCGAATTGCTGAGCAGTAGCGACTCTCTTTTGTCGACAGCCAGCCGGATATCACGTCTATGCCAGAGATGGCATAAGCTGGTTTACAAATGCCAGACTAGCCTCCTGTATCTGTGCTGAGATTTCGTCAGTGGGCAACCCTCTGTGGCTGGCTGGCTAATGCGACCTTTGAGCTTGGAGTTGGTGCAGACCAGTCGTGCAGTATCATCCTATATTTGATAGGAGTGGACTACATTCCAAACATCCGAAGATTTCCACCGAATGTGTTCAGAAAATTCAGCAAAAATTGTCAGCTTCTCCACCTGGGAGGACAATATCATCCTCATACTCTAAGTTATCAAGACTGTACCCTGGTAAAAAATCAATCCTTAAGTCTTTAAAGTCAGTTAGGAGAAACTCCATTTGTGCATCTATGATGAAATAAAAGACAAATGGAGAGAGGAGGCATCCCTGATGGATGCTATTAGTTGTCATCACTTCAGTTGACAACTCTCCGTATTCTCTTACATGGCTGCATGAATTCGAGTAGAGTAGCTTGATTATTGGGATATACTTTCTAGACACTCTTCACGAAGAAACATCGCCACAGCACGTTTCAGTCGACAGAGTCGAATTCCGCATTCAGGTCAAGAAATGTGGCAAGTGTTTGATACTGATAAGTATGTCTATGTCCCACAATATGTCGAAAGGGTGAAAATATGACCAATACACCCTATTCCTACCAGCTGTGAATGTTGTTTTGCAGGTTCTCTAGTTTCTTGCACACTGTAAATAAAAGTACAGTTCGGTATTGTTTAAATTACTTTGTATTCTATTCAACCTTCATTCATTCATTTATTAATCGTTTTCATGTTTTTTCGTTCACTGTCGATTACACAAACAGTGAACTAGTGAGGGTACAAATGCGTGTTTACTCTTTGGTAAGAGTTTATTCTTAAGCACAACAAAAAACGGAAGGTATTGTGATAGGGTTGTGTCAAGTAGGTTCCAAGTGGGACATAGGATTTCATCCTGTTTTATGTGGCTTTCCGATCGCCCACAAGCCTTCATTTTCTCCTCACAGCAGTCTGCTAAATGTCATCCAAGAACTCACGTCCAACTCGTCGTTTCCCACTTGAATTCCATTCGAGGTTATGCCTGGGACGCGATGTAACTCAAATACCTTCTCAGGCTTGTGTTTGATCCATCTCCATTTCCTTTTTGATGTCTGATGGTCATTGGTTCTTGGTTGGTTCATTGACATTTTGGCTAATCCTTCAGCAACTAGTTTACTAGCCAGTCCCCTAAGCCCCGAAAAAAGAGGGGAAGGTTGGGTGTTTGTGGTTAGCAGTCCTACCCTGGAAAATCAATGTAATCGCCATAGAAACTTGATATTAGGTCATTCAGTTAAATGCTTGAGTCTTATTTTAAAACTTAACCTATGATTATTCACACATAGAAAAATATGTTGTAGTTTAATGTGAATAATTGTCGCTCAAGAAATAGACACCGTTTTGAAGGTGTTGTCTATATTTAGTTTGTTGAAAGAGAAGTGTCCAATAATCTTACTACTAGTTATCATCATGATTATCGTGTTCGCGGATTGATTCACAGAAAAACGTCGCCAATCAACAAAATCAGTTCGATTTATTGTATCAATAAAGTCATACTATTGAAACAACTGAACTGATGAAGTGAAGATTATTTTCTTCTATTTTTGAATTGCTTTTACAGGGTCGTGTTCCAGTAAAATGGTTAGCACCAGAATGTTTGATGGATAGAATTTATACAATAAAGTCAGATGTGTGAGTTGCCTTTTTTTGATTAAATCTCTCCAGAGAATGATATATATTTTACTTTCTCTGGTTGATGATGATGTGCAGGCCCCAATTGTGGCATTTTGCTATATTCAGTGTATTATAACAGTGAGTTCAATACTACAGTTAATGGAATGACATAATATGACAATGTAATTTTTATAGTGTTATATTGTGATAAGATCTGTCTGCTAGCGAAAATTGGTAGACAATAATTCACATCAATGTTACGCCCCGAATAAGGGTCATGAGAAAAAACAAGAACAAAGACTAACCTTGAGATATTCAACAGCCAATCACAGTAGACTTAGCGTGGGTGGATACGATTCGCAGATATATCAACGGTCTGTCTAAGAAACGGCCACAAAGAGATGACAGAATAGCCTTCAGCAGGAAAACAACCAATCAGAAGACGTCGCTTCTCTGCTAACAATAACGTTAATAATAATGTACATAAAAACCTATAAATATCTGTTGATTTTCTCACTAAACGATCTGTTGCCTGGCCCTTGTCTCCTGTCATTACAATATAGTTGGAAAAGAAACTGTTAACTGCGGCATCCTTAGTCTCGTTAGAACTCATTCTCAATGATCCAGTCAGGAATTGTTTTGTCTTTATCTATCAGTTAAACTGCTTCTTTAGGAGCAGTCTTATTGGTCATTGCTCCAGGAACTTAGTTTTTCAGGCTGAGGAACACCTACCATTGTGTCTAAATAAAGGTGTATCAGAAACCGTCAGCAATTCAACTTGGTTTATACAGGCGATAAAGTTATCATTGATGAGGAATCTTTTTCTATCACCCATTGGGGACTAAATAAATTTGCAAAAGCTTCTAGGTACTAAAATACTCCGTCTCAATACGCTTAAAAGAACCATAAGCTCTATGTGCAAATGAAACAAGTCCAGCCACTATTGCCACCCACTGGGCCTGCTGTGAAACGTATAAGTTCATTTTTTAAAAAGAATATTCTCTTTGTTCACTAATCAGTCTTTTAAAACTGTTCATTAAAACACGAAGGGCATAGATGTAAGCGGTGGCATTTCAGGTGGAAAAAGAAAACCTGATGCATTTATAAGACTATGCCATTTAACTTAAATAAAGTATTAACAACAACGCTTAATTTTGCACAGAGTTGAAATAGAATTTTTTCAACAAACTTGAGTAGAATTCTCAGTCTGGAAATTGCTCAAGTTGAAATGAGAAGTCACCACAATTTTCTTTTGAAAATCAAAATTTATTTAGAACTGCTTTGATACCTATGAATGGTAGTCGTGTAATTCACAAATTGCAAATTCGACTCTATGCATTGTAAATTCATCCAAGTAGTTAATCAGAATTTGGGTGATTTCAGCTCCTCTAACTCTATAAGCTGAATCAATCGGGATACACTGCTGATGAGCGTTCTGCCCCCAAACAAGTGAAGCGGCCATCCGACGTTTTTATTCACTTCGATTTGTTGAAGTCAGTAATTTCCAACTACTTTTATCATTCTATCAGTAGTATATCCATCGTACTTGAGTAGGTAGGTGGTAAGAAATCAATTAACTGGAAGAGATGTAGCGTAATTGAGAATACAAGTATACAAATGATGAAACAGGCAAAATGTACTAAGTGTTAGTGACAGACATATACTCAGATTCAACATAAACTTCAGGGGATTCTCTGTGGATAGTAGCAAAATCTTTGGATACTTAGGATAAGGAATTAAGTGAGAAATTGTAAGCTATGAAATAGCGCAGTCATTTCAGCTCAGTTGTTTTAAAAGACAACTTTATCAGCCTAAAATGTGAAGTATCGTAAAAGGAGTATATGATGAAAATCGTCTTAGTAAGACAAAGAAGGCTTAATAATCACTTTTCTGAATAATATCAATTAATCTGATCCCAGGAAGGACGACGTCGTGGGGGATTTAGTCTTTGTTCATATGAAACAATAGTGCGTTATATGGTTAACGGCAGATTATTATTTTTATTATTCAACATGTAGATCCTTTGCAAAGAGGGAGATATTTTACAAGTAAATACGCCGAGAATTTTTTTATTATGTGCTAACATAATGTCTTATTATTATTTTCTTAAAATTCTAAAATTTCCTTCGCTGCAATTGTCTTCTTAATAACTCTTATGACTCAGTGTGTATATTCCGTGATTTGAAGAGAAGCAAGGACCGTTCGACGGTAAAGGAACTGAACAAGTTTCTACGTTTAACCGTCCAGCTTGCTGAGGCGAACGCAAAGATTTTCTTCTTGAAGAATTGTCTCGAGAAACATGAATATCCCAAAGTATTTTGGAAGCATCTCAGACGAAATCACATATCCCCTAACTCACGTACACTGAAACGACACACTCTGAATCACATCGATGCAGTGCGATCAAGACTACCTGAGCTAGAGCAGAATATCTCAAAAAGCTCCCACGTTCTCTATGAGTTATCTGAAGACGAGAGAACATCATTCGAAAACTACTCCAATACGGTTACAAAGAAAAGAACAGATGATGTTATAATGAAACTAAACCAAAGCCTAAAGTCCGTTACAAAAGAAACCGTCTTTCCTACTTGTCCAGAAAAATACGTGTACAATTATTCTGATGTTCCACTATCTCCAATTCAAATGCAAATTTTAGCACTTGGACCTAAGTTTTGTGATGCAACGTCAAAAGTGAATGAACTCAACACGAAAGTGCAATTTGAGAATTTAATCGACCAGACGAAAGATCTGGTCCCAATCTCATATGAGAATGCAGAACTTTTCAAATCAACCGTTTTAAATTGCTGTCTCGATTACATCAACAAAAAACCCAGCCTCCGTAACGTACTTTCCAAAGAACATCGAAAGCAGCTGAAAGAACTGAAGGATAATGAAAACTTGATCATCACACGACCAGATAAAGGCTCCGGAATCGTCTTGATGAACAAATCAGACTACCTAAGCAAACTCTCGGTGATACTATCTGATGATAAAAAGTTTCAGAAACAGTCTCCACAGAAAGATCCCACTGAACAGACGGAGCTCCAGCTAACAAAGATATTGAAGAAAATGAAAGACGAATCCATTATCAGTTCAAAACTATACGAACAACTGCGCCCATCTGGTTCTACAACGCCGCGCATGTACGGCTTACCTAAAGTACACAAACAAGACGTCCCACTCCGCCCAATACTAGATATGATAGATTCCCCATATCATACAATCGCGAAATGGCTGGTGGGGATTCTCGGGCCGGTGAAAGAGAAGCTGTCAAGACACAACCTCCGTGACACATTCGACTTTGTTGATTCAATTAAGAATGTCAATGTGGCAGAAAAGAAAATGGTCTCCCTGGATGTCGTGTCTCTCTTCACCAACGTTCCACTGACAGAAACCGTATGTTTCCTTTGTGACTACATTGAATCCAATAGCATCAATGTCGGTATACCAATCCATTACCTGAAAGAACTGTTACTTCGATGCACCTTCAACGTATACTTTAGTTTCAACAAGGAATATACAGGCAAGTAGATGGAGTAGCAATGGGTTCTCCCTTAGGACCCCTCCTAGCCGACTGCTTTATGGCTAGCTTAGAGAACAACGCCTTATCACCAACTATCAACGACCTCCATCTCTACAAGAGATACATCGATGATACTTTCATTATTTGTGATGAGAACTGTGATTTAAAAAACCTACTTCAAATCTTCAATAATGCCCACCCAAACATCGACTTCACACTTGAGACTGAATCCGACGGAATGTTCCACTTCCTCGACGTCCATCTGACAAGAAACGCCGACAACTCCTGAAAAGGTCCATATACAAAAAGCCTACATGGAATGGACAATTCATCAACTTTCAAAGCTTCGTGCCCCTGAGCAGAAAGAGGAACCTGATATACGCTCTTTCCTCGAGGATTCGGAAGATATGCAGCGAGGAAGTGGTTGAAGAAGAACTGCGTAATCTTCGAAAAACCCTGATGGAAAACGGTTTCCACCCAGGTTCATAGACAAGAATCTCAAACCTAAGAAGACTTCCGAACAAGTCCAATCCGTCCAAAGAAAATGCTTCTGCTTAATCTAGAATTCAAAGGTGATATTGAAGCAGAAATCCTTCGCAAACGCCTCTCAAAATCGCTGAGGAAAACATACTTCGCCGCTAGCCTACGACTGACGTTTTCCTGCAAGAAACTGTTCAGCCAGAACGCGAAAGACAAGCTGTCGCATTGGGCCACCTCAACGTGCATATACCAGTTTACTTGCTCTTGTGGAGCTGAGTACGTTGGCCGTACCATGCGCCAACTTGAAAAACGCGCTCGTGAACACTACCCAGCCTGGTTAGTAAAAGGAGACCAAAAGCGTGAATACAGTTCAGTGACAGAACATCTGCTAAATTCAGGACATTCAGCGCCTTTCGAAAAATCCTTCAAGGTAATATACAAAATTCAATCAAACCTATCAACGGGAGTGAAATCAAGACATCTGGGCATAGCCGAGGCACTAGTTACCCAAAAGCTCAAACCCACCCTTTGTATCCAAAAAATATACGTCCAACCCCTGTCCCTGCCATGGCCATCATAAACAGGTAATTCTTTTAGTAATGACCATTCCATCACCTTTCTTATCTAAACTTCCTGTTTATTCATGTTATTTTAAGTTTTTCTTTACCATATTTTCATACCCGAACTTCGTGTTTATTTTTTCATTTTACTATTTCTACATATTTAATCCCTGATTGCATAAACAATTGTTCATCACATTAGTTCTTATCCAAACATCCTGTCTATTTTATTATTTCTACATTTCTAACCCCTAATTGCACAATGTCAATCTTCTTAGTTATTATGATGCTACTTTGTTTTATCCATCCCCCTGTTTATTATGGCATTCTAATTCCCAATTTTAATTTTTATTAATTTGACCCTCAACTGGAAATTATTCTGGAACTTTCACATCCATTTGACATAAATACACGAATGTGCAGCCTAGATGATGACTTCGTCGAAAAGAAAATTTTCTTCGCTGCAATTGTCTTCTTAATAACTCCTATGACTCAATGTGTATATTCCGTGCTTATTATTATTATTATTATTATTATTATTAATTGACTGTATTAAACTAAACTGTGGTTGGTCCTTACTATCATGTCGGCTGAAGGCGTCAACAGAGACTGAGGATTTCAGTCTAACATAATCAGTCGGTTGTAGATTGAAAATAGTAATTTAAAACAGGTAGGTTTACGTATCCAATGGCTTACAAACTAATTAATAATATTAGAGGTTTGAAAATGGCTAGAGACAGGCGTGATTTGCCTCAGTTCATTGGTAGGTTTGTAACAAACAGCAGAAGGCAAGTCACGGAAAGCAAGATGGTGGTATATTGTCAAGTGATCAAACAGCTGTTTGTATATGTGCAGTTTATATTCTTTAACCTGCAATCACTAAGCGTGTAATTTTGGTTTACATTAAATGATATAAAATAGAAAGAATGTTCAAATGTCCATAGTATTCTGTCTGCAATGCAGTTTTGAACTGTGAGAATCATAATATCCTGAACTTAGCAAGAAACAGAATGTTCAGATAGATTTATCGTGTTCTGTTGCTACGCTGGCTGTATTGAACTGTGGGAGGGAATATGTAAGAATAATATTCGATTGGAACACACTGTCTGTATCTCACCACCACGACAGGTTGACTAATTCGATTCGCTTTGGTTTACATCATCTTATTGTCAGACTTCTTCTGACTGACTATGTGTATAGAAATGCACTACACTTTTTTTCAATGAAAAGGAATTGATTTACCCAGATTAAAACATACAAAACACCGAGAGAGAGAGAGAGAGAAAAAACTTAACTTGAACCGTTGACTACTAATGAATACAGGGAGAGGAATTCGTCGTCTATTCGTCACCAAATATTGTCTCATCTGTCAGCACTTGTCGTCAGTATTGCACGTTCGTCATGTTTGGAAGAGATAATATCTTATAGATATGGCTTCAGATGGATGACTCAATCCCTTCACAGTTAAAGACGTTTGTTACTTAGAGAGAGAGAGGTAGAAAGTAGTCTGGTGAGGCGAAACATTGACTTTCTGTAGTATTGACTTACAAATTCCATTATTATTTAGTGTGTAATTATCGCCACTATCCTTTTTCTTGTTTTGTATTTTGTTTTCTTTTTTTTGTGATGTCTTTGCTTGCAGTTGGTCATTCGGTGTACTTCTCTGGGAGGTATTCACACTTGGCTCCACTCCTTTCCCAAATACTGAAATCACAGAAATTATCAGATTAATTCAGTCTGGTGTACGAAATCCTAAACCGGTGTTAGCATCGAATGAGATCTATGAATTAATGTGTAATTGTTGGAAAGCTGAACCAGCTGAAAGATTATCATTTACTGAATTAGTTGATTTGCTAGAATTACACATTAATCAAACTGATCCAATGATGTTGACAGTTGGCCAAGAGGAATTATTAACAAAGTATATTCATGAATATCTGAGGAATAATTCTGATGGTCAAGAAAGCGTTGTTTACTCTAATCTAATCCCCAATAGTATGGATAATAATATTAGTAGTAGTAATAATAGTGATAATAATAATAGTAATAATAATTTTACTGATGATTTTAAAACTGTACATATTTGTTGATTTTGATAGATGTGTGTATGTGTGTGAATGTTGATATAAATCTTTTATAACGGTATAAACTATTTTCTTATTATTAAATGGACTTGTTTTTTTGCTTTATTTAAACGAGGTGAAAGATGGCTGGTTATTTTATTGCAGATTACAGTCCAGCCTAGATAGAAGTCGTGGAGCTAGCTAGCTAATAGAAGACGGTAGAGAGAGAGGGAGAGGCAGCGGAGTAGAATACAATGGAGATGTGTTACTTGTGAAGCTTTATGCCCCGTTTAGAACTTGCTCACAGAGGATGGTAGTCATATTCTGCTGCTACAACGAAACCAAATGGAGAGGGAATCTCTGTCTGTGTGTGTGTACTGAGAAAAATAGAGTTTGAAATTATGGGTTTTTGTCGGGATTTGGGTTGTTTTTTTTTGAAATCACAATCAAATATCAATTTCCAGCTCATTGTAATGACTAATGGGTGGATGTCTTGAAAGCGTAGTGAGAAGTCGAAGTCGTGACAAGTGTGGGGGGTGGTGGTCAAGGAGAAGTGAGTGCTTATCGAAGGCGCATGCTAGTTGAGGTTATCACCCAAATCACGAATTGACAAAGTTCGAATGCACAGGTCACTGACTGATTGGTCAATGAACTTGGTATCGTAACATGAAGGTCCTACGTTCTATCTCTGTTTAGAGTCGCCTAGTTTTCACTTATCTCTAAGTGGTGTTTGTTTCTGACTAAATCTACATTGAAATGGCGTTTTATTCGACCACCTGAACATTTCGATTAATTTTACAAAATACAAGGCTTAAAATATGTTGGATTGACAAAGGGGTAGATTGTTAAAGGGATTACAAGCGTATGTGGCAGAATTAAAGGCTACTCATTATAGCTTGTTAGTTATTCACGTTCACAAAAGTATGAATATAGTATGCTGGCTTAAAGTAATTGTGTATACATACTCACGTGAGTTTTATTGTCTAAGATAAACACTCGAAATCTTTTCAATGGATTAATTAGTTTGACCACGCCAGTGACCTTGGAACACTCAGTCCTCAAAATCAGTAGAACCAGGCGAATAGCCCTATAATCTTGAGTAAAAAATACGTAATACAGTGTTATGATAATAAATGGGATATCTGGTAAATTGTACGTTAGTTGTGGGGAAGATTGAGTTACGGCTTAGGCTAAGGAGAAGTTAAGTCAAGGTAACGTAATACAAGAGAAACGAGAGGGTTGGTTCAAGTCAGATTAGGGTTAGTTTAGGGATAGTTCCGCGTTAAGATTAAGTTAAGGATAGATTCTACGCGTCGGTGGTGTTCAGTGGTAGATTGCTCGCCAACCATGCACGTGGTCTGGAGTTCAATTCTCGGCCGATGCACACATTGACCTCCCCTAGTCGGTTGTAAGCCAAACAGAAATGGAAAATTAGGTGTGAGGCTAACAACCCTACTTCCATATAAAATCACTACAACTACTGAAACTTCAAAACTCTAGTTTGAAGCCCTATGTTCCATTCGGAACCTCAGAAAACGATAGACTAGGGTTGGAATTAGAAGACCTAGATGAATACGTACATAGAATAATGTGCTTTAATTACTCCAGTGACACTCCAACGCGAAACTAAAAGGCAGTTTTGTCACACTCAGAAAACGGTATCCTGTATAGCAGTTTTATGCCTTTTTTATTTATTATTTGTGTCATATTTTATACGTACAAATCTCATTTCTCATGTGATTCGTGCATTAAAGGTCATTTGACCGTTGCTACACTTTACCGCTTAAGGTGTTTATCTTCTCCGATTAATTTATCGCTACATAATGAATATAAAAGGCCATTGAAGAAAGAATATTCTGTACAATAAATTCTCTTCAAATTCTTACATTTATCAAATAAAATATATGTTATCATTAGAATAATATCCAGTACGACTGACTGTGGATCCTCTTTTTTCCTTAGAATAACAACGCGCTAGGCTGAATGCAAATACGAAATAGTGTGAAATACAAGTCGATGACAGTTATAGAATAGAATAGAATATGGGGAAAGAAGGAAAATTGACAAGTTAGTTCAAAGTTGCAAAACATCTGTGAATGGGGCTAGTACACAGAGACGGCTTTTTCATTGAACACATGAAGAAGGAAGTAACTAGTGTCATGACTTCTGTGCCTTTGGTTGATGCAGACTGAATTCTATCAGTCAGTTAAATTTGCAATGTGACCACCACTATGTTAGGTGGCTCGCCATCACAATGGACTTTGAAGTGTTGTTACTAAATGGTTGGAGGCAGTTGACAAGAAGCCTTGGACCTAGGTTTCGTGCTTGTTGGTACTCGTCAACAAGGCGTATCTACAACCTTGAAGTAACTCTTTTCCCTTCTGAGATTCGAACCAACCAAAGGACTACATGCATGACACTAGTTACCTACTATCTAGTGTTCAAACAAAGTATCTAGTAGAGTCCTACATGAGGTCAGAACGTAAGCCCGAATGGCTCAGTGGTAACGTCTCTGACTTCAGCGGTGGGTAACGTCGGTTCAAATCTCATAGGGGACATGAGTTCCTCCAAGGTTGCAGATACGCCTTGCCAACTGGTGAGTGCCAACAAGCACGAAACCTGGGTCCAAGACTTCCTGTCAGTTGCCTCCAGCCATTTAATAAGAGCGATAGTATGTATTACAAAGGAAACAGCAAAACCGTGGTGAATAATTCATCACCAAATAACCAGTACACGATATGAATGACGTGAAGTCATATATTGGGAAAAGAAATAATATCACTTATAATAAATCAGAAGAGTTTGTTAGTGTCTGTACGTATAGGCAATTCGATAGTATTTTGTAAAGGTTAATTAATTGATTACACCAGACCGGAATGCTTGGTCAATCCGTGACGACATTTTAGCTCCTAATACGGACGCTCCAGAAATTTATAAGGATTGACATGAAGTTGTCTTAGTTATCTCAGCATTAGAATCCAGAACGTGCATTTCGGACTCGTCAGCTCAGTGTGCCTGCGTTTCCAAGTGAGTGATGGTGTTTCCAGGGTGATACGAACCATACACCACCTAGGGGAAAATCCCTTGGTGTTTGGAACGATGGGTGCAGGGTTCGAGCCTCAATGGGAATACACCATCACCACTCGGGTGTATCCACTTGACGAGTCCTAAATGGGACTGAATGTACATCTTGGATTCCACTGTTAGTCGCCGCCAACCGAAATTCGATGGTGGTTGAAGAATGCTAAAATAAAGAGTAAGAATTATAAAGAGTGATGACTGAAACTGCTTCAGCAAGGAGAAAGTGAAAAAAATTAAACAAAAAGCAGACGAAGAGAAATCCTTAAAGGGAAGGTGAACTTGCATTCCACGTTTGGCCATGGGGAAGACGTCTGGACGTGTTTCTTTTTGTTAAATACAAAAATGTAAATTGTCATTGTAATGACAGCAAGTAGTTTATTTTATAACCAGAATATACTCTATTGAAAGGAGATTCTTTGTTCAGACCAACTCTTAATTTATTGCGATGTACATGGTTTGTGATTAAATCTGTTCCTTCAGGTTGTATGCTAAATATTAAAAACTAATTAGAGTTTCATTGGGAGATATTTTTCCTTTGTCAGTAGTTGATGAACCAGCCAAGTAACTAGGATCTTTTAAAAATCAGAATGAGGTTTTTCACATTAAAAGGAAACACTATTTTACGACTTCACTTTTGGTTACAAGTTGACTTCAGTTAGACAACCATCGAATTTGTGATCAGTGGGGTTCAACAAATTTCACGTGAGTACATTGGCTGGCGGCCGGCCTATATATCGCCAGTTGGCAGAAGTTAGAATTCATGGGCCATTGGATTCCGTCTCAGTGACGGGATCGAACTCGAGCTCGTCTTGTAACCTGAAAACCCTGAATTCAATCTCGAGTGGGGTTACTAGTCCGTAATCACTGAAGAGACGCGAACAAGATCAAGACATCGGTTCAGTACTCCCCACTTTTCAATGGTTATTTAACCGTAGTCAATTCGTGATCAAATTGAGATCAGCCAAATCTCTACAAACCAACACTTGTATATTTTATTATTCCTGTTCTTAGCTGATTTCGATTTCGACTAGGATCGGAATCTTTTATAAAGTGTGCAAGGACAAACAGTGATGACTTGAAATAATAAGTCAGTAGAATTTATTTGTGTGTCATAAGAAGAGAGAAAATTTGATGGAATGTCTAATGAAATAGAGACACTGCAAACTCCATTGCATATTTCACTATGAGTGATACAGGTTCTAATTTCTGCGAGAACACGCTTCGCAATTTCCCTGTTGGTTGCCACGCGTGTTCTTTAGAACGATGGTAGGATAATTCTGTATGATGAGTTACTCATATTTTTATTTTAGCCGCATTCATTATATCACAGAATAATTATTGAACTGTACACAATTCAATCGTGTTATCACACTCTAAAGATAAGCGTGTCTTTTAGCTGTTCTTAAGCATGTGTAACATCAACCTTAGTGTATCACTTATGTATATTAATGAGCCTTGTAATAACATAACGACTACTTAATAAGTGAGTTCAAGCTAAGAATTGAATTGCCTGCATTACTCCTAATCATCGTAGTTAATACCGCTGACACAGAGTTTATGCTAAGCTATGGCTAAAGCACAGGTGATTTGCTTTAAAATTTATGTTGCGTCATTAAAACAGTAATCAACATATAGTCGTCCTTCAGACAATGCGACGAAATACCGAACAGTACTGAAAAGTGAAGTAAAATATTTAATTTCAGACATGTTTGCATTTGCATAAAGAGAATAGAAATGACAAACAAATGTCGGCCCTATCTGGCTGCATTTATGCTAGGGTAAATGACAAATCACTTGATGACAGTGGAAGTGTTAATCATAGTAAACACAGGAAGGGAGTGACATTTGATAGGTGGACTGTTGTGTCAGTTGTCTTTCGTCGTTAGTACTCGATTGGAGGACAAATACTTAAGGTGAATTTACATTTGGTATTACTTTGATACTGA